GGTGGCAAAAGCCTGGTCAATATAGGTTTGGGTAAGGTTCTCCCAGATATTGCTCTCTATCATTTGCATTTCAGTTGATAAACATATCTTGTTATCTTTTAGCCGATGATCAACATGAGATAGGTATCGATGGGGCAATTATTCCATGGAAAAAAGAGTTTTGGACTGCCCTTAGGGCGTCTGGCCTTTTTGAGGTAATTCTGCATACATATAAGAGTTTTTTCTTCCCGCAACTTGGTATTATCCAGAATATGAAGAAGGAAATCGATCCAAATAGTGTGCTACCTCCAAAGTATAAATTATTCTTTGATTACGATAATACTAATGGGAATTTATCTGCTGCAGTAGATAAACAGTGGCATGAGGTTGATGTAATCTCGAACGAACGCGTTACTTCTGGAAAACATTTCCAGGTAAATTTTTTGTGGAACACCCAAGCCTTGTAATCTACATGTCGCCTTTTTAGGATACTCGTTTGGTTTCTTTTTCTACCACTGAACTTCCTTTGAAGCCGTTAGTTCCACATTTCTGCTTATATCGATCCTTTATGATTAAGAAAAGAGTTCAGGAATTCCACTGAAAAGTATGAGCCCGGAGATGTACTCATGGTTCAGCCCCGCAATCTCACTGAATCCATACAGATCGCTCTAGATGCGCTGAATTATCCGGACGATCTGCTTGATCGTCCCTTCCGCTTGGAGCCTTCTGACGAGCTCATCAAACTTCCAGCAAAGTGGCTACTAGGAGGTAGTATCATCATCTAATGTGATTCTCACTCTCAAGTGCTTTATTTAGAGAGACCCACTCTTCGGTCATGTTTCAATCGACTATTTGATCTTCAAATGATACCTCGTAAATCCTTTTTCCAAACTTTGGCCTCAATCTCTACTAACGAAGCAGAGAAAGAGAAGCTACTCGAGTTTATAAATCCGGAAAACCTGGTATGTTTTGAGCTATGGACGAAAACTGGTCTTTAAACCTTTCCCACGTCTTCTTACATCCTGAAGGGGTCTTTTCAGGATCAGTTTCTCGACTACACGAACAGATGCCGTCGTACAACTGCAGAAGTACTGCGAGATTTCCCAGCAACATCTGCGAACATTCCACCTGAACGATTGTTCGATCTTTTCATTAATATACGTCCCAGAGCGTTTAGCATCGCTAGTGAACCTTCAATGAAGCACTTAGAAATACTTGTTGCGA